CAAAGCATGAAACTAGGATTTATTTCATAAATTTCACCCAATTTAGGTGGACAACAAAAAATACTTTGGTAACGTAACTGCTACGTATCTTGTGATTGTTGCTGCATTCAACAATGGTGAATATTAACTACTGAATTTCAAGATGGGATGTCTTTATTTGAAAGAATATGAGTTTTCATTGACTTGATTTACAATGAACAGTGTTAAAATTTCAATTTTGTTGTGCTATAATGTTGAAGCATTCCAAAGTAGGTCATTACAAGTGATGAATTTCGAAGGGTATGTGTATTGACATTATGTGATAGGTTAACATACGTAATGGCATGATTAATTGCAATGAATATGCACATTTTATGTCGCTTTTAATAACTTATTAACAGGAAATTTAAAACTTGTAACGTTCTGAAACTCTGCCATAAAATAACATTTTTTAGGAAGCAAAATAAAGAGTTCATAAATCATTAAAATGAACTGTTTAACTTGACATGTTTATATGATGTTTTAAAACTTAGGAAGCTTTAAAGAGATAAATTTCACACAAAACGAGGTTCGATTAGGATCTGAATTCATCATAAAACAGGAGTTTAGTTTTTCCACCTTAATATCATCTTGAAACAACAATGTTTTCCGAATTGATGAGGATTCATAAATGAACTAATGTTGAAGTTTTTCGGAAGTGTTTTAAAGAGTAATCTAAATGCGAACAACAATTTTAACGGTTTTCTGCTTTGTTTAAAGAATATTAAAAGCAAAGAACAGTCTTAAAGTTTTTCGGAATTGTTTATAAAGATTAATTTAAAAGGAAATGACAATTTTAACGGTTTTTCTCATTGTTTAAATAATATTAAAAGCAAAAACAGTATTAAAGTTTTTCGGAATTGTTTATACAGATTAATTTAAATTTCCAACAATATTTAAGTTGTTCTGCATTGTTTATAAAGAATAATTTATTAATGTTTTTCTGAATTGTTTATAAGGAATAACATAACACAATTTGCATAAATATTAATAACAAAATTCTTCAATGAAATTGAATTATATATAAGAAAAGCATATATTCTGAAACAAGAAAAAATTTAACAAAGTCTTTAAATAGAAAGTGGCGTTTTTTTTATGAAAAACAAGTGTCAACGAACGAAAATGCGCGCCTTTTATTTCAAAGTTGCGATTCGTGCCCATAAACCAGATTCCCAACTGTCCCTATCTTATCTCGTCGACGAAGACAGGGGTGAAGTTCCTAAAAATGTCCCTATCAATCCTGTCCTCGCGAGCGAAAAAACGACAAACTGACCAGTCCCGTATTCCATGGGAGGAAGTCTTGTTTTTTCAAAGTCCGAAGTAGGGAGGGTTGACCACCGCATAAAGCGGGTGTCCCATGCCGAAGCCCTCGGCATGAGCGGGGTGCGAGTGCACAGCTATTCCTCTTTTCCCACCGGCGCCCCTCGGTTGGAGGGTTGCCGAAGCGCGCATGCGTGAAGCGTGCGTCTGGAAGTGTTCGGACTGTCCGTAGCCCTATATGAGTAGGCAGGTGACTGCTGATGAGAGTGGTCGACCGCGAGACAGAACACATTTTATTGGTGTCGTAATCTCGAGGCTCCCTATACTGTCACGGCAACCAACGAGATCGGGCTAATTTTCCTCTGGCCTATCCCGGGGAATACGGCTCTTTCTTTGTTGACGGCGGCTCTTTCCGGCTATCGGTTTTCGAGTGTCGGAAAAATAATGCGCCTCCGAGACCGTGGGACAGCTTATAAGCGACGCTGTCGCTTCCTGCTACTCGCCTGCGAAAATTATTTATGAAAATAGGCACCGTTGGCTACGACAACGTTTCGTTTCAAGCCTCTCGGGCCGATTCCAAACTATCTCAGCAACTCTGCGAGCGGCTCGGCCTCCGTGCTGTTGACGCGACGAGCAGAACCGTATTTAAGGAATTGATTGGTTTTCTGCACCTGTGTCCTGCGCACAGTGCATCTCGATGCCTAAGAAACTCGCCCGGCGGCTTGACGCCGTCCGGGACGTTGTGAGTGGCGAACCTTCTTCCGAAGGCACTGAGAACTCCGTCTGAAGAGAATCACTGAGGGATCCTCCGTAGTCGGGCATCCCCGCGACCAGACGTCGCGTCTCGTGATATTTCACTGAAGTTGAAACTCGAACGTTGCAAGAACGCTGAAGTTACCTGGTTGATCCTGCCAGTAGTCATATGCTTGTCTCCAAAGATTAAGCCATGCATGTCTCATACATGCCGTATTAAGGCGAAACCGCGAATGGCTCATTAAATCAGTTATGGTTCCTTGGATCGTACCTTACTACTTGGATAACTGTGGCAATTCTAGAGCTAATACATGCAGCAGAGCTCCGACCTTCGGGAACGAGCGCTTTTATTAGACCAAAACCAATCGGGCTCTCCGTACTTTGTGTGACTCTGATAACTTTGGGCTGATCGCACGGGCTCGTCCCGGCGACGTATCTTTCAAGTGTCTGCCTTATCAACTGTCGATGGTAGGTTACGCGCCTACCATGGTCGTAACAGGTGACGGGGAATCAGGGTTCGATTCCGGAGAGGGAGCCTGAGAACACTACCAATCCAAGGAAGGCAGCAGGCGCGCAAATTACCCACTCCCAGAACGGGAGGTAGTGACGAAAAATAACAATACGGGACTCTTGGACCCCGTATTGGAATAGTACACTCTAAATCCTTTAACGAGGATCCATTGAGAGCAAGTCTGGTGCCAGCAGTCGCGGTAATTCCAGCTCCAATAGCGTATATTAAAGTTGTTGCGGTTAAAAAGCTCGTAGTTGGATCTCAGATCCGGCCGGACGGTCCGCCTACCGGTGGTTACTGTTCGTTGCCGATCGACAACACCAGCCGTCACCCCTGCGCCTAACCGCCCGTAGGGCGGTTTTTACAGTTTTGGTGGGTGGGACCGGAAAGAAGCAATTTGCAGCAACCTTGGTGGGCTCGCCGCCCTTCCGGGCTGGATCTACTATTGGAGCCTCCTCCATCTGACTAAGTTGTCGAGTTGGAAGAAGAGCTAAAAAGAAAGACACTGATGCCAGCGAACTGAAAAGGCCTAAAGGGATAACAGTTTAAGAAATGGGTCGTTAACCCTTAGTTAACTTTTTGAATTTTTAAAAGTCTGGCATCCACTTGCTCCCCCATGGGTCCCCCTTCGAGGGTCTAGGGTACCACTCCAAAAACGGGAAATTTATTTAAAATCAAGAGGGGAAGTGTTACAGGGGGGAGTGGAGACTTATTTTCTGTTCTATAGTTGAACAGATTTACTATTTTACATAGAGTTTCATGGCTTTGCATGTTTTCTCTTTTCTCTGGAATAAAGGTAACAGATATAATGTATAATACAAAGTAAATTATAAATGAAGAATAGAAAAATTGGTTGAATATGTAAAGGTATCAAATATAATTTAAAGTACAAAGTAAATTAGAACAAAGTAATATAGAATAAATTGGTTGTATATTTGTAATTCCTTTTAGAAGGAAAGAATTTGAAAGGTGTGTGTTGGCTTAAAGTTCGTGCTTTAGCCGTTCCGGCCTTGACCGTTTATGTCTAAAGTCCTATCTGTTTAAGTGTTCATGGATGTTCCTTTTATATAGCTGGCAGAGTTCTTTTCCCCTATGGGGAGTTGAAGGAATGCCTGGGCGTGGTGTCATGTAGCTGACTTGGACCTTGTTGCAGTTGTTGGTTTGCTGGGCTTAGTTTTCACTCATTGTGGCGTTCTGTTGTTTGACTATTTTCCAGATGTTTCTACGCTGGGGTGGATGGGACTGTGGATCTGGGTGGACTGTGGTCGTGGAGATTAGTTTGTCTGTGACTTGATGAGCTCTTCATTGTGGCTGAGGAAGTTCACCAAGCGCACGATTTTGTCTCTTAGGAGTGGGTGGCTGACCAAGGACTTGTTCCAAGCTTCTCGATGTTGGGCGCCAGGTTCCCGGAAGTGAAAAGAAGATGTTAGGGGACAGTGTACGGCGTAGTGGTATGGTGTTCCCTCTTCCCCACATGCACAGAAGGGGTCCCTGTGTTTCCCGAATCTGTGAAGGTAATAGGGGAACGGTCCATGTTCTGTCACATACTGGGTGACCTGACGAGGCCAATTGCAAGTTTTTAGGCTTACTTTTGGAAGGACTTTATGCGTGGATCGGCCAAATTTTTCGTTGTCCCATTGTTGTTGCCAGAGTGCCATGGCTTGGTTCTGCAGTTCCTTTTTTGCCCAGCTTCTTGGGAACGGTGCTTCTACTATGGGGGTATCTGCTTGGGTGATGACTTCCTTGGCCAGTTCGTCCGCTTTCTCATTCCCCTCGTGGCCTACATGGGCTTTTATCCAGCCCAAAGTGATGTTGGGAGACTTGAGGAGGATTTGTTGTATCTGCCTGGCTATTGGGCTATTGGTCTTAGGATCTTGAAGTGCCTGGAGGCTTGACAGGCTGTCGCTCCAGATTTTTGTTGTGTTGGTGGTTATTGCCGCGTGCTTTGCTGCTTCTAGGATTCCTATCAGTTCTGCCTGGAATACTGAGTTTCTAGGGTGGAGCTTCGCCTGCCAAGTATGGGAGAGGGTGTTGGAATGGTCAAACTCGCAGAAGGCTGACCCTACTCCTTGCTCCGATTTCGATCCATCCGAGTAGATATTGTGCCCGACTAGCCTATGGAATTCCGGAATTGTCGAGATTCTTTCTTCTTCCAGTCCTGTTGCTGGGTGGTTCGTCCAACCCACTGCTTTTTTCTCGAATTGGGCCGGGTCTTCTTCCTTGTCTTTGATCCAGGTCTTTTTACCAATCCGGGTTAAAGCAACGTAGTTGGCCTCCGCCTCAATTTTCAGATGGAGGGGCATAGTCCCCGTGATGACCTGGAGAGCCGAAAGAGGGCGCCGATACGACTCCAACAGAGGGCGCTAATACGACTC